AATAGGCCAGGCGCAGTGACTCATGCCTGTAATCCTAGCATTCTGGGAGGATCAGATGTGTGGACTGCCTGAGCTCATGGGTTTGAGACCAGCCTGAGCAAGAATGACAACCCATCTCTAAAAGACAACCTGTCGCTAAAAAAACAGCCGGGTGTTGTGGCAGGCACCTATAGTCCCAGCTACTCAGGAGACTGAGGCAAGAGGATTGCTTGAGCCCAAAAGTTGGAGGTGGCTATGAGCTATGATGCCACAGCACTTTACCAAGGGTGACAAACTAAGGCTCTGTCACCAAAAAAAAAAAAATCTAGAAAATATTCCATCTTATGAATATATCATTATTTTTGATATACTTTTTCATTAATTAAAAATAAAGGACCAGGCTGGGTGCGATGGCTCATGCCTGTAATCCTAGCACTCTGGCAGGCTGTGGTGGGTAGACTGCCTGAGCTCACAGGGTTGAGAACAGCCTGAGCCAGAGCAAGACTTTGTCTCTAAAAATAGCCAGCCATTGCGGTTGGCACCTATAGTCCCAGATACTCGGGAGGGTGAGGCAAGAGAATGCTTAAACCCAAGAGTTTGAGGTTGCTTTGGGCTGTGACACCACAACACTCTATCAAGGGTGACAAAGTGAGACTCTGTCTTAAAAAATAATAATAGGGCAGCGCCAGTGTCTCAAAGGGGTAGGATGCTGGCCCCATATGCTGGAGGTGGCGGGTTCAAACCTAGCCCCGGCCAAAAACTGCAAAAAAATAAAAATAATAATAATAATAATCTGTTACCATCTTTACACAGAATTTTCTTTTCCTTAGAATATATCCCAATAAGAAGAGTTACTAGGACAAAAAGAATTTAGGGTCCTACCTAAATTGCCTTCAAAAAAGGATGAGGACTGGTACAATGGCTCATACCTATAATCCTAACACTCTGGGAGGCTGAGATGGGAAGATCCCTTGCCAAAAGTTTGAGCAAGAGACTATATTTCTACTAAAAACTGAAAAAATGGCTCGGTGCCTATGGCTCAAGCAGCTAAGTCACCAGCCACATACACTTGAGGTGGCAGGTTCGAATCCAGCCTGGGCCCACCAAACAACAATGGTGGCTGCAACCAAAAAATAGCTGGG